TGGTAGAACAGAAAATTTTTTGGTAAAAAGAGAAAGTTGTTTTATGTGAAACAGTTTGAACATATGGCCACTGGGTGGGATGGAATGCAGTTAGGTGGAGCCATAGACTCTATATAAAAGATGACTGATGCGTCACCACTTCCCTCCACTATGCAAAAGTGAAGCCAAAATATCATAAATACAGCAGCTGCCATCTTGGCCTTGTGCAACCAGATTCCATGCAGTAGTGACCAAGCAGTTGAGTGACGTATCAAACCACCAATCAAAGCTGTCAAACCATCTGAAAGCCCTCTGAAATAGAGCATCAAATAACTTACTAAAGGCAAGCTTATCAGGAAAATGACCGCTTGTACACAAATCAGTATGATGATATCTACCAAAAATGACAGAAGTCACCTGTGGGAAAATTTTCTTTAATTTGTATTTTGAGTTTGTAGTTTGGCTCATGTCGCATCAGCTAACATGTAGTGGGCGGGATTTTCTATATGATCTATACCGCAACCAGCCACCAGGGGGCAATCGAGTCACGGTGGCTTCACTTCTGTGAGCTGTTTGGTCATCCATATTTATATACAGTCAGTGGGTAAAATGGAATGAATGTTTAGGGTTTTTGGGTAAAACAGAAGGTCAGTGGTCAAAAAGAATATAATTATTGAATAGAATAAAATTGTTGGATAGAATGTAATGTCTTTAGATAGAAAAGAGGGCCTTTGGTTGGTATAGAGGTCAGTGATGTAGAATAGTTTGGTAGAAAGGTTAATAGAGTAAAGGGATGTATCACAAAGTGGAACTAGCTGTGAGTCAATAAATTGCCTCCACTGAGGATTTAGTGAAATCCCTGCTGATCATCAGTTCTCTCCATGTCTCTCTGCTAAAGGTCAGTTTTTACATGCAGATGGGCACTGAATTCTCCCACAGGCAAAAATGGACACTTTGATTCTAATGGCCTTTTCAGAGAGAATGGGGAAGGGAAGAACAGAGGGCGGTGTGAGTGATCTATTAATATAATAGCTAATTTTGGAGGAGAGACCAGAGTTTACAATATGAACCCTTTGGTATTTCATGCAGACTGTGAAATCAGGAAAAATGTGAATTTATACAGCAAATACATCTGCAATAGGTAGACAGTTGGTGGATTTGAATCCAGTTGTTTTTCTTTCAAAATATGAAAAAAATAATAGGGTGAGTTAATTTCATCAGTTTTCAGTTTGGTGTCTGCACATTTTAATAAAAGAAAGCCACAGGTGACCCTGGTAGATTAAGGAAAATTTCAATGCTTAGTTTACTGACTTGCAGCTTATTCATGTTTTATATTTTATTATTTCTCTTCCTGATATCCTCAGGAGCTGGATGAAGCCTTGAAGATCTGCAACTACATCTTTACCCTCATCTTTGTTCTGGAGTCCATCTTCAAGCTGGTGGCGTTTGGTTTCCGACGCTTCTTTAAGGACAAGTCAGTATCTGAATAACTGCCATGCCCCCCCCCAAAGTGATGTCACAACCTTTTTAAATGTTTCTGACCCAGTTCAAATAGTGAGCCTGAATAAACCGTTCCCTCCCAGTTTAAAGTTTTTACATTTGAGTGGATTTGATATTCTATTAGATAGGTGTGTAAAGGTGATTCTTTAACTTCTGAGTTATATGGAGAATATGAGTCAGAGTTCAGAGAGGTTAAATGAGCTCCTTCTAAGGTGCTCCACTGGATGGTTCTCAGTGAGGCCGGTATGAATATAAACAGGCTCGTTAACCACCCATAAAACTCTGAACCTCAGATGATTTCATAGCTTTCAAATGCCTGGCTTCCCACTCAAAGCCATACAGTAATGTAGAAACACAAAAGCAGAAGTGTACTAGCAGACATCACATACAGTATAGAGAATGCGAAGGTAAGTTATGCCATGTTGAATGTTGGGATAGCTGTGCCATTTTTGGAGGTACACACTGTCTGGCTAAAAAAAATTGCTTAAATTGTTTATATTTCATGTTACTGAATATATAACCTTAGCTCACTGTGGCTGGCTTGTAGTGGACCTAGAGATCCTGTAGACAAGCGCGACAGACTGAAAACTGGCTCTGTATCCAGCTCTTCTCAGCTCTCGGTTCAGGAGCTAATACTAGCTAGCAGCTATCTGCAGATAACACAAACACTGCAGATGACTCTGCCCTGTCTGTGCTCAAACTGAACACTAAAGTGGATGTTTGGACGTATTTGAAGCATCTGCTACTATATGTAACTGTATGGGATAGTAGTATTTTCTAAAGTATCATATAATCTAGATGTATGTAGTGTATATATCTATGACTGATGAACATGATCTACCTACTGTAAACTCAACATGGCCTGACACCAACTTCACATTCTCTATGCATGAATACACACTGTAATACTGTTTTTTCAGCCGTGTGTGTTGAGCTGCTGAGATAGAGTGGTTGTGTTTCCACTGCACCATAAAACGCATTATTTTCTTCCACATCTTGATCATGTGGGGGTAGCACCAGTTACTAGCTTGCAACATGGAGCCCTTGGTGCTGAGCATTATTTTAACCCATTATCAGAAGACCAAGCAAGAGAGTCTAATTTTACTGCAGTGAAATTATGGATTAAAAGTGACTGCTGAAGGATGTTCCCTTGGTGCAGTGTTTCAGCCCATCACTTGCCTTGATGAGCTGGCTCTGTTGCGAAGCTTGGCCCCACTTGGACCGTGGCAGAAATAGTACTAACTGAGCCCAAATCAGCATGACTACCTTTGTGGGAATTTCAGTGGAAACATTATTTAAAAAAATACAGCATTTTTGATCTTTGGGTTTGGAGAAAGAAGTGTTATTTCTTGTGCAATGATAGAAATGTAAGATTCTCTGATTTTATTTCTGACAAAATCTACTATATTGTATTTAAACCAGACCAAATAATACATAAGGTCCTTGTAAACCTATGCAACTGTGCTACAGATTTCAGGTGGTTAGCTACTGCATGATCACTTTTACTTAAGAACTTTTGTGTCCCTCAATTTGGAAATTGCACTGATAATGGTTAGTGTGAAACCTGTGTGACATCTGATTTTGATATTGGTTTTTGAAGAGTATGAAACTTTTGTACCTAAGGCACAATTAATTTTACCAGTTTTAGCAGTTTATCAAACTTGGTCACAGATTTATTAAAAAGAAAAATTGGTTAAAGTCAAAGCATCAGAGGCAAAGTTTCTCTTCCCTCAGTGTTTATTGTGCTATATCTTCTCTGCCTAAGTCAGTGTAATGTAAAGTAAGTCAGTGTAATGTCACCTGAATTTATGGGAGCACAATGTATATGTCTGTGTGTGTAGGTGGAACCAGCTGGATCTGGCCATCGTGCTCCTATCCATCATGGGCATCACTCTGGAGGAGATTGAGGTCAACGCTTCACTGCCCATCAACCCCACCATCATCCGCATCATGCGAGTGCTGAGGATTGCACGAGGTGGGTGAGAGAGCTAGAGAGAACATAGTGAATCTGGAGAGAGAATAGGGTGGTAGGGGTTCAGAATTAGGAAGGACAGGTTAAAGAGAAAGGATAGACGTAGGGAGACTGAAGTGTCTGTCAATAATAAAAGATATGAGGAGGCTGGAGGGGAGAGAACAGGAGGAGGAGGATGAGCTGGGAGAAAGCAGAGCTATCACAGGCGGGGGGGGAATCATCTGTTTTGTCAGATTACTGAATATGCAATACTGGAAGTAGCATGGAAGGTGTTATTAATTACTGCCACAACCAGGCACAGTCTCCTGTGTGTAGTGTGTGTGTGTGTTGGAACTGGGATTTGGGTCACAGTAGTTGTCTCATTTTCCATTTAGCATCAACATAAATGTCATAACTAGACTGTATATAAACATGATTTAGCTGGATTATATCAACTTTCCTTGCTACATGCATGCTGCACACGTCACTTCCTCTTCTATTTCTATCTATTTTCCCAGTGTAATTCTCACAATCCCATTTGAACAACTATGATTGATGCTGAACAGTAGCTATGTCTGAACTTTTAGGACTTTGTACATCAATTGTTTCATATTACAGAATATTAGGCCAAACTGACTTAAACCTTCAGCCACTTTCCTATCTCTTTTTGCCAAAGATGCACTTTAACAAGAATCTGCTGTGCAGCGTACACATGGAACGCAAGGTCACAAAATTAATCTGTGCAAATGTTCCACACAGAGTCCAACTTTGGTGAACTTTGACCACCAGATTTGCACGTTGACGTCTTGACAGCACTGACATATTGGCTGTGCTGCTCTGTTCACTTTCATTGAAAACAAAAGAGCAGTAATTTGCAGACAATTATAAGACAGATACAAATGTCTTCTAAATAAAAAATGTGAATGTAAATCTGTTAGTGGCTGAGTTAAGCTAAATAGCTAACAAGTTTTCTTTGATATGAGTTAAGCTAAATAGCTAACAAGTTTAATTTTCTCTCTTTGATAACCGAATGAACGAAATGGCATGCAAAGCTGAATGCAATGCCAGAAGAAGAAAACAGAACAGTAGAAAGAAAGTTGAGATGAAGCTATTGTTACTGACTACAGTTTTAATTATAACAAGGTTTAATTGCCTTTAACAGTCGACTGCTGTGAGACATCAATGTTTATTTGGTTTTTAAGAACATGTTGGATATATCGCTGCATACAGAAAATATAATTACAACTTGGATGTTCCCAGAAAACTCACATCGTCTCTCCTTTGTCTCCTGAAAAGTAAAACATTCTTGTTTTGAGTCCACTAAAGTCCGAACCTTTGCTTTTAAACTCCACCTTAGGAGAAATGCGGAGCAACAGAGATAAAGAAAAATGTCAAAACTAAGATGTTCTTGAGTTCTTTTATCCACCAAAGTGCGTTACAATTGATGGCATGACTTTGAGTCAGATCACAACCTCCTGAGTGCTGAATGTGTGTGTGTGTGTGTGTGTGTCATAATCCTGCCTTTTCTGCTTTTTGTGTCGAGTTATTGATGCCTGACGATGAGCTCTGTTTTGTTCAGTGCAATAACAAAAAATATTCAACAGAATATACTGTTGTAGTGCCTGGCTAACGCTTCTGTGGATTTGTCACTTTTAATAGGTGTTAGTCTCAATAGAAAATAAATCTTGATGGAACACTTTTTTTTAAGTAAGCCAACTATGTGAATCTCAAAGTAAGAATGTCAAAATAAAATCTGCTACTTTATAAGTCAGATAAGTTTGTTTTTGAATCTTAGCGATATCTCACAAGCTGAGTCTTGTCAGATAACAGGTGGCAGTAAACATCTGCAAAACTTAAGAGCTTAGAAAAGGATCAGAGTGAGACAGGAAGAAGATCTCAGAAACTACATTTCAAAATTACAATGGATCAAAATCTCTTACGTGTTAAAACAAGTTTAAATTTGTTGAGGAGAGAAAATTTACAAAACTGTACTTTTCTTCACCTTCTTCTCACAGATAGTATACACTCACTGTTCACTTTATTAGGTACACCTGTACAACTGTATGCACCACAACGCAACACTTCCACCTTAACATCTGTGTTTATGAAGTTTAAAATGTTTCGGTTTTTGGTGAGATTGTCATAAATGTATATATTCAATTATATGTTTGTTATTGAGGTCAGAGTTAAAGGTGGTGCCTTATTCGGACTACATTATATTCAGAGGTGTCTGTATATTTTTGTCATCCCCAGCTACATACATGAGAGGGTCAGAATATTAGGAACACCTGAACATCTGAAGCATTTTTTACTTTATAAACACAGATGTTAAGGAGGAAGTGTTGCATTGAACTGCATAGTATTGTACAGGTGTACCTAATAAAGTGGCTGGTGAGTGTTTATCACAAATTGCCAAAGAATTATGGGATTGTGTATTGATAATCAGATTCTTACATTTTTATCCATATTCATAAACATCCATATGTTTAAGATTCTAAATTGTATTATGTCAGCGTTATTAGTGGAGTTTGCACGGTGAAGAATTCTAATCCAGCCGGTTTTGTTGTCAGTTACCATCAAATCACCCAGGAGGCATTAGGGTCGGTTTAAATAGCTCCATGTGGTACATCTAGCTTTCTGTGTGCATCTCTACTATTTCTTCAGTTATTAGCTTTCAGGATTACTGCACTTCCACTGGTTCTCTATCACCATAGCAGTGACCTCATTAAATCGCAACCCCATTCTGGAAGATTTGACCTCAATCAGGCTATCTGAATCTATCTTAATGTAGCTGAATATAAGGAAATATCTGACTACACTAACAGAGCAGCATTAGACTGTCAGCACAAAAAGTGTTGTGTCCTTTTCTTTTCACAGAGATGTTCTGCTATGTAACACTGAAAAAGTCTTAATATTGCTAAAACACTTTCTCAGTTTCTGCATGTGTATATGTGTGTCTCTACAGTACTGAAGCTCTTGAAGATGGCGGTGGGGATGAGAGCTTTGCTGGACACCGTTATGCAAGCCCTGCCTCAGGTACATAGTCAACTTTGTAGAATAACATGCACTGAATCCACTGAAGCCTCTTTTCCTTCCTCATCTATGGGTTTTCTCCATGGAGCTTTCGCACATCCTAACAGATCCCACAGAAGCTGTCTCTAAAATGATGTCCCAGAAGCATTTCTTTTCTGGTACATTTTCTTATGTTTCACAGTGTTGTCTTTTCCCACTAGCTTTTTACCACCTCTAGAGACACTTATTTGCATTAGCAGGCCTCTGTAGAGATTGGGGAGGTGAATGTAGCTTGAGGTTTTGCTTTGAATAGAGGTGGGTTGATCTGAGGGTGATGGAGTTGGTAAATTAGAACAATATCTGCAGTGTTTGGACTGAGAGAAAAAAGTAATAGTCACCTCAGCATTGTTTGACAACATCCTCTGTCGTTCTTACTCAGAGAAAAATGGAGTGCTGCTCCAGGCTGATTCCTCCTAGAACTGCTCAGAGGTGTTCATTAGTGGTGGGGATAGCAGCAGTTGCAAACCCTTAGACATTTACCTAAATCACCTTTGTATCATAGCTAATATTCCTATTATCTATTCTAATCTTGTCCAGGAACAGTAATCATGCATCCATAACAGTGTTAATAATGTGAGCTTTCTCTTAGTAGCATGGTCTGGGTCGCACACATTGGAGAAACACTGTATGTTCTAGCTGTCATTGTGGCTGGTTTTATGTAACCTAGAAACCCACAACATAATGTAATGACATGCCCTTAAAGTAACGCTTGATTATACTGGTGGTAGAAGCTACTTACCAGGACATGCTAATAGTTTACATTAGATATTAGAACAGACAAACCAAATACACTTACAGTTCAGTTGTGTCTTTAGTTCTGGAGAGTGTTCAAAAAACATAATCCAAACTCTATGTATAGAGTATTGCTCTTACTATGGCACCATGCGCACCAGCTCAACATACATAGAAATCCCAACGCTTGCCTCGTTACCGTTAAGCTATGAGGGGTTCAGCGAGTGGCCAGTTGCTTTAGCCTGTATTCTCTCCTGGCTCCTTCATTGTGGCCCATCATTTATTTTCTCTCTGGCATGAGCTGTTTCTTATCCCTTGATATTGGTTTGTTTTGCCTGGGATTTCTCTCCTGACTAATTCCTCTCTCGTCCTGTCGTCTCTCTGCAGGTGGGGAATCTGGGTCTACTCTTCATGCTTCTCTTCTTTATCTTTGCAGCCCTGGGAGTTGAGCTGTTCGGTGACTTGGGTAAGGACACATACACCGTGCATACGGACCCTCCAGACAAAGTGCACACAAAGATTTGCAGTCATACCGCTCAGACCATGCACTGAGTATTTAATTCTGCCCTTGGCGGGTTTAATCAGTCTGATGTTAATGGCTTTTTGAATACTTTGTTGAAATACCATAATGATCTCACTAACTGTGGCTCATATCTTTAATAGTAATAAGTAATATTTTATTCAACTTATCATATCTCTCTTTTTGTCTTTTACTGTTTGGCTGCTCCTCCTGTGTTTCCAGTTTGTGATGAGCTCCACCCGTGTGAAGGTCTGGGACGATATGCTACTTTCAAAAACTTTGGAATGGCCTTTCTGCTGCTCTTCAGAGTTTCCACTGGAGACAACTGGAATGGCATAATGAAGGTGAAACTAGCAGTGCCATTTGGACCCTGAAGACACATACTTATACACATACAGTATAATCCACTTACTTTCATCCTGATACACATATAGGCAATGCATACATATAGGACATACCAGTAGTCAGGTATAGAGGTGATATGCCAGTGTGGTATGTTGTTGGAGAAGTCCCTCCCCACTGTTTATCTTGAAAAACTGTTATTTACCAAAGGCCAGATAATATTTTGTGTTAAACCCTAACCTTGACTGTAGTCTTTTCGGTGTATTAGATGTGTTGGCATTTTAGCTAGAATGCAGTTAATATAAATGAAGAATGAGTAAGTTGTCACAGACAGTTCTTTTACTTTTACTTACTGACTGCATTCTGCTTGCCACTCAAGCTTTAGCTTATATGCTCATGTCATGTTTTTCACGCTTCTTCCAGGACACATTAAGAGACTGCGCCCAGGACACGGGCACCTGCTACAACACTGTGGTCTCTCCCATCTATTTCGTCTCCTTCGTGTTGACTGCTCAGTTTGTTCTGGTCAATGTTGTCATTGCCGTCCTGATGAAGCACCTGGAGGAGAGCAACAAGGAAGCCAAGGAGGAGGCAGAGATGGAGGCGGAGTTTGACCTAGAACTCCAGATGGACGGAGGAGATGCAGCGACAAGGTCCCCGCAGCTCAACCCTCTGGCACTGAGTATGGACAGGTCAAGCTCTGGGGGTTCCCCCTGGAGGTCCCCCAGTGGACAGGACAGTGAGCAGGAAAGGGATGGTCCTATGGACTCACCCTCTGCTGATATAACCAGAGACTCTGTAGACATCAGAGACCCTTCTTCATGTCTGGACCCACCACTGGAGGTAAAGAATCTTTTTCTTTCTGCTTGTACATTGTGTGTGTGTGTGTGTTAGATATGACTAATGCCTTTGCTTGTGAGTTTGAAGGCATATTAAGGTGTCCTTTCATCAGCCCTGTTCACATTATCTCAAAAAGCAGTTATGTATACTGAAATGTTAATAGAGCAGTCAGAGTAAATAGGAGCACTTTAGTAAAAGTGTAGATGCCATTTTATGTTATGTTGGGCTGGTATTTCTGTGATTCCCCTTCAGTCATTAACCCAACCTGTGTGTGGGTGCCTTAATTACACTCTTGTCATTGCACATATGTTGATTTCATTCACATTATTTCAAAAGTAAAAGTGAGAATTGCATTGAGATAATGTCTAGGTCAAACCGTTTGATTTTCCAGGGACCATAAAGCATCCTGCATGATATGACAGCTGCTCTGAGATCACTTCTTGCTGGGGGGCCAGGCTGCAAGGCCAATCAGATAACCCACACATTAATAAATCATTAATTTTGACTCCGGTCCAAACCATTCTCTGGCTCATGCTGAGGGACACTGAGCATGCTGGATGGTATCTGAAATAATGGCTTTCACAAGAGGAATGTCTCTTCCCTGTCTCAGTGTATTAACTGTAGTCCAAATTATAGTGAATGTGTCCATATTAGGACACACTGACTACACAGTCTGACATTGTTTCAAAATATATTGTATGTGAATGCATTTATGTGTAATGTATCATGGCTTTCACAAGAGGAATGTCTCTTCCCTGTCTCAGTGTATTAACTGTAGTCCAAATTATAGTGAATGTGTCCATATTAGGACACACTGACTACACAGTCTGACATTGTTTCAAAATATAGTGTATGTGAATGCATTTATGTGTAATGAGTCCTATTTGAAAGTATGTTCTTTGATACAAGCCTGAGGGTTAAGATGCACTTAAATCCTCTCCTGTCAGAAAAATATATTTCTTTACCACAAATGTACAACAACACATAAGCATGGTTTCACTATTGGTGTACTCTCTTCACGTATTAGAAACTAGTTTTAAAATGACTAGACTGTTATGCTTTATGTCAAGTCAGAAATGTATCCAGAATATGTACTTCTAGACAGATGTATTACTCTGTGTGACCCATATCAGGAGAGTTTACAGTTTGTGCATGTACATGACTGTGTGTGTGTATGTGTGTGTGGCTGGCCCTTGTAGAGGACATGCCAGTCACAGATAGGTCACAGTGCCATGGGAAAGCTCGGCCACAGGGCCTTGTTGTTCATTTCAACAGCTATTTCCAGACAGTGGGGAACTTTTTGGGGATAGGAAATAGAGGTCTCGCTGCCATTATGTTTTCCCTCTGAGATGTTATCCATCTTCCTTGTCTGCTCTCCCAAAAATGTGTAGTTAAGCCACAATCTCTCCTCCAGCCATGTGGGAGAGTGGCTCCCTAATGCAGTGTTGTAGTGCCTCCTTGTGGGCTTGAAAGGTAACACGTGTGAACTTGTAGTTCATGTTGAGGGAGTTGTACTGTGCACTGCGTTAAAGCCAAGTTATTTAGTAAAATACTTACAAGTCAGGATAGAGGTAACACGTGTGAACTTGTAGTTCATGTTGAGGGAGTTGTACTGTGCACTGCATTAAAGCCAAGTTATTTAGTGAAATACTTAGAAGTCAGGATACTGATCCACTCTTCCTTTCCATGTATATTCACATGTCTTTGTCTGGACTTCTGACTGTTCTTTTACCATATGTTCTACACCTTCTGCTGTCCCTGTGGTTTCTCTCTTTCGATCTCTCTTTTTTTCTCTGCATTATTCAAGTTTGTCCAGAAGAGAGCGCAGTTTGACTCGGTCTCACTGGTCATCCAGGGTTCAGTGGAGGGGGAGCTGAGCTTGATGGACAACCTGTCCGACTGTATCTGCCACTACTACGCGCTGCCCCCCAAGCCCAGCAAGCACAGCACTGACAAAAAGGTCAATAACCTACAGTAACACCACTGATGATCCACTTCCTCTACATCATACACACGTCCAGAGAGTCTTATTTGTCTCCAACATGTAGGGCTGCACATGTAATTATAAAAATGAAAACTGACATATGGATAGTTGCTGCTGTAATATAAAAACCCAAAGAAGGTGTTCACTGTAAAACATCATAAAGGAATTCAATGGAATCAACAAAATTGTATGCAAATGTGTAAGTTTTGTTCATTTAAAGTGAACTCAAATTTAAATCTAGTTTATATTTGTCAGGCCACTTACAAACTGTTCTGAATTGACTCTTTTGATATAAAATAATGAGTTGAATCAAGTTTTTAAATGTTTTGTTTTAGACTTCCCAGCATGCATTGTTTGTTAGTTAAACCTCTCCAGAAACTCTTTTTTGAAAAGGTTGGGAAAGAATACAGTGGAGGAAAATAAGAAAATGAACCTTTTTGCAACCCTTTAAATAAGGCAGATTACTTCACAAGTATGGAGATGAGCACTCTTGACTCTTGTAACAATTGATTTAACAAGTGAAATTATCTGACACCATTACTGGCATATTTTACTATTTGTTTTAATGAAGATAACATTTTATGACTCAGTGCTAAATTAATTTAATGTTTTACAGTCTACAAAATCCTTGGTCTATAAAATAAATAACTGTGCAGGAAAAAAAAGTCATATTTTCACATATTTTTTGTAGAAGTTGAATTTTATAGTTCAGTATAAAGAAGCATGCAGTGTGATATTATACACTCCGCAGCCCTACAGCCATCACCATTTTTGTACTGGCATTTCTCCACAGTGAATCTGTTTCCCTTACTAACCAGCCCTGCTGTCCACCACAGTGCAAAATTCTTCATATCCCTCCTCAGCCCTGAGCCTCATCCCTTCACCCACGTCTTCACTCACTTACACTCATTCATGCTTAGCGGGTTTGTGGTCTGCTTCAGCAGCCTCAGTGACAGTTTGCTCTGTCTCTGTTAGACGACTGTCTATCGGTGTTTGCATGTCTATATGTAGATATGTAGGTGTGACATGTTTGTGTGTATTATACTGTATGTGAAAACCTACTCTGCCAGTCAGCCACAGCAAAATGTTAGTAACCCACCTAATGCATTCATGAAGGAAGTAGATCACACCCTTACATACAAGTCTGCAGAGTAATGGTGCAGTCAATAAGCTATGATTAGTTTTTATTTATTTATCCTTTTTCATCTATGTACCTCATTGAGAATGACGCCTCATTTTCAAGAGTGACCTGGCCAACAGGGCATCAAACAATTAAACAATAAATTGTTACAATATAAATAGACAGACACAACTCAGCTGACACACATTTCAGCAAACACAACATTTGGGTATTATAAAATCAAATAAAAGCCAAAATACTGTTAAAAGCATAGACAAGTACACTCTTCATTTGAAAGCAGTTGTGGATCAAATATATTAGCATTGCAAATCCTTGCTTTCTAAAAGCCTTAAATAGGTCTGAAATGGCATTATTATATACCAGAGACAACCTAAGCCTTAAATAGGTCTGAAATGGCATTGTTATATACCACAGACAACCTCTCCCTATGTGCAGCTCCTTCAGATACATGGGTAGAAATGATTTTCCACTAAGTTCCACTGAGCCCTTGTTCCTCTCTTGGCCCATTTTCCTGTCACAAAGATTTTCCCTTGTTAAACCAATGCGAGGCCAGCTAGGCAGCAGCTTCTCTTAGGGCTGTGACCCACCAAGCTGACAGTCGGCCATTGGTGAGCGTCTTCTCCATGTGTCCCACAACGATACTAGTTGGCCCTGGTCGGCTGCTTTTTGCCTGATTTGACATGTTGAATTAGCTTTGGGCCAGTCAGGCCTTGTCGGTGAGAGAGAAACCACTCTTATTGGCTGTTTAGCTTAGTGAATCAGTGCACAACAAGAGAATGGTGTGTGAAGCCCCTTTAGCCTGTCAATGTAGTTGATGATGTCAGGATTTAGTGCAGTTTCTGCTTGTTACTTACCTTCACAACCTCCAGAAGCAGCTGTTTTGATTTCCAGGTCTTCCTCTGTCCCTTTCTGAATGGTGACTACAGAACCCAGCACCTGCTGGTAGAGGGAGTTATTTCTGTCATGCAGATGCAGAATATACATGCTAGTCGGCCGTTGGCTGTAGTCTGCATTGTGTTCAAGTGCCACTTTTTCAATCTGACTGGCCCAGACAAAGGCAACGTGAGGCCACACAGGGGTTGGCCTTCGTCACTCCTAGTTCTTTCACATTGACTTGGTGTGTTTCTGCCCCTACCGAAGCCAGAAACAGTCAAATCCAATAAACTTTCCAACACTGAAGCAACACTACACAGCTCTCAGTGATTTGCATAAACTCACAACACAGCATCTTGGATTCATCTAATTTATCCATGTAAGCACAAGTATGACATTATTGTACATTACAATACATACAGTGTAAGTGAATCTGCTTTCTGTCTGCCTGTTTGTCCCTGTGAATTTAAGGGCGAGTTTGTCTGTTATTTATTAGGCTGTACATTTGACTGTGTCTCTGTGTCTGTATCATGTCATAATATTGCTGTTGGAAAGCCCAAAATAGAGTTTAAAAAGTCTGAAGGTGAGCAAAACAGTTCTCATATGGTTCTTATAAATTCCACTTTGTCTTTTCTTTTTGCTGCTTTTATTTGAATACACTATTCTGGTTTTCAAACATGCATTTCCCTGTTAGCTACAGGTCTTGTCTGTGTGTAGCGTCCTTATCTTTGTGTGCTGCGCGGAGTGTGCATTTGTTTTCTCTGCTTACTAGTCGTTGTCTCTTCCTGCCTAGATCCCTCTAGCGGAGATGGAAGCTCTGTCTCTGGCCTCTGAGAAATCCTGGTCCCTAGCTCTGACAGACGACTCAGCCCCCGACGATTTTAACCCCTTCTTTCTAACCAGTCTGGAATGCAATGTATTGACAGTTCCTCTCTTTTTCTTACTCCATCCCTCTCCCCCCTTCTGCCCTCTACAGTATCTTGTAGTGTTTCCTTTCCCAGGGCACTTCCAAAGCCACTTGTCCCCCACTATTCACACACACACGAGTGTAACTGACTTTGCGTGGCAGGGGGGAAACCAACAGGAAACTAAATTAGCTAAACAGCTAATTTACACCTGTAGTCCTACTAAAACCATTATTCCGAGCAGCTATAATCAATATACTGTATTTTATTCATAATGGATCACATGACTACTTATATGTGAAAGATGCTTCTGACACTAATGTAACAAAGTTGATGAACAACACTGCAGTTCAAGTACGCTCTACAGAGCTTTATAACATTTTTTTAGTACACCCAACATGGCAGCAACATTTAATTATTATTATGTATAATATTACATTGTTATTATTGTTATAAAAACCACATTAATGCACTTGGAGATGTCTTTATATAGAATATAATGGACTTGCTGGAAGGAACATCACTGTCTCTACAGCATAGTGTTCTTGATCACCACCCCATCCCTTATTTTTCCACACAGGGACACAGTGTCATACACTAAGGACTATACAGTATATGCTTCCTGCCCAGCATTAAGCTATACATTCCTTTATAAATGTTCCAGATGGCTCAGCCATTGAGAGAAAGGACACCTTCATTATAATTAAAAATGCCATCAGAGTATAATTTACCGAACCCAAAGTTTGGCTCATTAATGATCACATCATTTCCCAGTAGTCATATGTCTTCTTCCAGTGAGGGACACCGTAACCTTGGCTCATGCTCCACATCCAGGCAAGTGAGGTCAATTTATATATCACCAGTCTCAGAAACAGAGAATCCCAGCCAACAATGGACAGGAAATCACTGTTAATTTGGTTTTGCTGAGGTAAATAAGATAAAAGCATGGCAGTGAGGAGGTAATGTATTACAAGTGGCATTGAAAGACCCTGGAGAATCTAACCATGTGCCCCATTTCACCTTTCCAGCCTGGTGTGTGTTCTTTCCAGTACAGTAGAGTAGTGCGCCTCCTCACCTACCAGTTTGCAGTTTTCTCTCCTTTGTATCTTCTTCCTTCAGTATCCTTTATCTCTCTCTTTCCCCGTCCTTTTCTTTTCCTTCCTCTTTTCCTGGTTTCTGTCTTTTTCCTATGTGCTTTCCGTGTGAGTCTGCGTCTGTTCTCACAGTCCTTTCCTACTGTACTGTTTTCTGGGGTAGTGGTTTTCACTCATCTTTGACTTGTCCTTTGTTGGCTACAGGGGTGTAAAGTAGCTCTGTGATGAATGTGAACTGGTTTTGTAATGATTCAGACTGTAAAACACTGCCCTAGCTGACACACAATCACGGAGCAGGCTTACAAAAATGTATGTGACTGCAGGGGTAAATGCAGACACACAATATGGAGTGTCTTATGCTTAAAAAACAGAAGGAACTTGGAAATTGGATAAGTTTCTGTGATCTGTGGCAGCTCTGTGCCAGTCTCCTCCAATGTAAAAAGATCGTCTGTTGTCCATGTATGCTGATGATCATGACCTCTTTGTTCCCATTTTGTCTTAGAGAGTTATCAGCTTTGAATGTGCCAGAAAGACTGTGAGAGTGCTTGAGTTACAGAGTAGCCCTAGCCCTTGCAATGCAGATGGTCCCTGACTCTTTTGTCTTTACCCCCAGCAGGAGCGGCTCGATCCTGGGAAACCCAAAAAGCCACTGGCAGACAACCTGCTGAGCATCAGGAAGCCCTCGGTGGGACGCACACACTCCCTGCCCAACGACAGCTACATGTTCCACCCACTGCAGGCCTGTGCCCGCACAGCCCCGACTTCAGCACATCGTCTAACCCACACACAGGCGCCCCGGCACATATTTGGCACCCACAGGACACAGTCAGGTAATCAAGGGAATTCAGAATCTGAATCATCTTTATTGGCCAAGTGTGTTGACACATGAGGAATTTGACTCTGGTACAACAGCTCTCAATGTGTACGTGCATATCAACAAGCAAGGGCATGTGCATTAGGAAAGGAGATAAAAAATAAGAGTAAAGTACTTATAAATAGAAACCTGTACATATATACTTGTTATACCCCAGTTCTTGAACAGATCTGAATGAAGACGGAGTCCAACTTGCTTCATTTTAGTGGTGGTTTATTTAAAAATGACCACAAATAAAAGTTACAGAAGCACAAACCCGGGTGGCTCCCTCCCTCATACAAGCTGCTGGAGAAGAGAGACTCCCGTGAGAAAGAGCCTAATACATTTATAAAGTTTTGGGCTAACCCCTTACACAAAAAGATATAGAAACATCACGAGTTACTTTGCTGCTCTGATCTCTCTTTAATTCGTTTCAAAAAATGTGTTAATAAAAGTGCTTGCACCTCCCCAAAAACCTCTTTGCATCATGTACACTGGCCAAAGAGCAATACTGGTAGAGTAAAAAGATTATAGCCCACATTCTGATTTGATGCTCCTCAAAATTATTTTTATGCAGGCCCAGCTACCTGATATTTGGCGCATGCATCGAGCACAAGTCATAACAAAATGAAGAATTCCATGTGTGTGTATGTTGTATGCGTGATGTGTAACTAAAACATTCATTCAGACATAATTCTTACACAAGATTAATACAAAAAATAACTGGTGTCAAGGTACCCTTCTCAGAATCAACATTATCTTCTAACCTTGAAGCAGAGCACACATGAGGAGACTTCTTACATTAATAACAGTCTAACACATTAAAGTCTAATAATTATCTGACTGATTTATTAATTTCTAAAAACTGTATATTAAAAAAAAACATTCCCCACTCACCCCACTTCAGGGCGGTCTTTCCTTCAATCCTCATATGCAGTATATACAGTATATACACACACACAGTCTGGATTCAGCAGATCTATATGTAATATTTACAGGTATTGCACTGAGGGTTTACTGTATTGTCCAGTCATACTGTTGTGGGTTAAGTGTTAATCAGAGTGATGTCCCGAGGGAACAAACTGTCCCTGTGCCTGGTTGTCTTGGTGCACAGTGACCTGTAATGTCGTCCAGAGGGGAGGAGTTCAAACAGATTGTATCCACAGTGTGAGGGGTCTGCTGAAATATTCTCCACCCTCCTTTTCACCCATGAGGTGTACAGGTCCTCCATGGGAGGCAGGCTTGCCCTGATGATCTTTTCTGCAGTCCTGACTGTCCGCTGAGGTCTGTACTTGTCCTGTTTGGTTGCTGAGCCAAACCAGACAGTGATGGAGGTGCAGAGAACAGACTCGATGATTCCTCTGTAGAACTGTATCAGCAGCTCCTGAGGCAGGTCGAACTTCCTGAGCTGGCAGAGGAAGTACATCCTCTGCTGTGCCTTCTTGGTGATGGTCCTGATGTTGGAGGTCCACTTCAGGTCCAGGGAGATAGTGGAGCCCAGGAACTTGTAGGACTTTACTGCTGATACAGTACTGCCAAGTATGGTGGTGGTGGGGGAAGGGGGTGGG